TCCAAGGTGTCCTTCTGCTTTGACATTTCTCGAAAAAGTGTAGTGGCAAAAGTAGCTTCCAGTCGATTGCGAAAGAATTCGCATGAAACAAATCTACCGTTGGCCACGAGGCGAAGGCCCCAATTGCTGATTCCACTTTGAACAACATCGATAAGCTTAATTTGGGATATTTCTTGTCCTACAAGGTTCTGTCGACGACTAAATTGAGTAGATTCAACCCTCTTGGGAAGATTTAGTCCATATTCTGTTTTTGTGTCCCAATGAGTATCACTGCTGTTCCATGATGACGGGATCTCAAGTCGGTCCGTCTGCGATCTTTTGAGCTCAGAACGATGACGTGAATCGTCCCGATTCTTCCGACGAGGAGATCGTTCTCTGGGGCTCTGGCGAGATGATCTACGTCTTCCTGTTTCTCTGTGTGTTCGTCTGGTCGATCGAGATCGAGAATTTCGTCCCATGTCTATATGAGGAGGGGAAGAGTAGGAAAGTCGATAAGTTGATGTCTGGAACCTGCTGAAGTGTCAAAGACAAAATCGCAGAAGAACTTTGTGTGAAAATGAGTGCCACTGTCACAGTGACTTAATGGACTGACATGCTGTTAACTCAGTAGAACTGTACAAGGTCAAGGTCAATTCTCATTGTCAAATTCACATTGTGAAAAATCTAAAGTATGAAGTTCCACATGCATCGAACAGAACAGACACCGGTGATGTAAAACTGATCGCATAGATTCTTCATCAGCATAACGTTCTTGAAAATATGTCGGCGATTGATGCAATTTTGACGCAACATAGCTCCTATATAAATACGCTGCGGAGCACAAATTACTTAGAAGCAACACAGAGAAGGACACCACGGGAAGGTAGCATGCAGAAGAAGTAAGGAAAAAGGAAGAAGGAGGCAAGCAAAAGGAAAAGGGGACAAGCAAAAAGAAAAGGGGACAAGAACACGGCAGAAAAACGATGCACACACACGCGAAGCTAACAATCGAAAAATCTGAGTCAGCACTGTTTTTATACTCCAAATAAAGACTCCAAGACATGATTTCTGGAGATGTATACTCCATGGATTAATCATTTTAATTTGCTCTCATGTAGGATCACCGCGACGTACTTGATCTTCGAAAGATGGGATCGGAAAGCCCACCGTTGGTCCGCTCCATGTGCTGAGTCAGCTACCATAGTGATCATATGGTCAGCCATAACTCCACCCTGTGGTGTACGAATATGTTCCTGCCTCGAAAATGCTTCTCCAAGAATACATACAGGGCGATCACTGAGGGCGCCGCCGTACTTTCCGCACATCTTGACCAAACGTTCCATATCACTTTTGTGAAAATCATCATGGTTAGGTACGACTGCTCGGCAATAAAAGGAAGTAGGTGGCAACCATGATTTGTCAGCGGGATCACAACTAGAAGGACGAATAAATCCTTCCCGAACAATGTCACACAGAGCTAAAGCCTGAGTGTTATGGCCAAAAAGGAAACGATGATTAAATTGGACTTTGGGAGTGCTTCGAAAATATGGTGGTTGCACTGATGCTAGGATGGCCAAGGGTGTCTGTGTGGAAGACATCAATATCTGAAATTCCTCTATCAAAATAGAGTTGGCTGGATATTGCATCAAGGATGCAATCAAAATTTGGATTCCTTCCTCCACATGAGCAGCTCGTGAGTTCATGAAGGCTGATGGAAAGCATGTGCGCAAATCATGTATGACATATTCATACCAAAAACCACTCATTCGTTTGGCTTCATCGAAGGTTTGATAGCCGTTAGCTCGACAAAAATGATGCATGTCTGGAATCCATTTTTGTTGACGTGGTTCTTCAATAAGTCTGCCCATCTCAAATCCTCCAGCAATTCGATGTGGATTTTGGTATAAATCTGAGTGTAAACGCAATACAGTGCTGTACAGTCCACACCAATCCAACTCCTTCAATGTTCCATGTCGTATTGCATCAAATTGATTGGACGAAAAACGTGCCAGTGGATGCGACACCCACAAATGGTGCCCGAGGTGTTCCAATTGTGGATGCTTAAATTCCATAATCTGTAGTACACTGGAAGAGATAAACTTTTCTGGTTGTCGTCCAATTTTGAAACATACTGATTTTGTTTGAGTCTCTGCAGAAACTTCAGGAGCGACATCGCTTTGGAAGTTCTGAGTTCCCCACTGATGTACGAAAGTGCCGAGCTGAGATGGAATCGTACCAGACTTGTCCAGGGGATCCGGACCACGTTCCGATCTTGGAGGTTCCAATACATTTTCACTGCGAAATCGTTTCGATGGCCGTTCTGAGGTCGTTACCCGATCAGTCAGAGCAGGCGTAACTGATGTCGCGACTTGTCCCGAAGAATTGGGAAAGATCAAATGTAAGCCAGGTATCCAACCTGTTTGATTTCCTGCATGCGTCAAATTGGCAAATTGAGAGATAATCCCAAGCTGATGAAATTGATTTTGAGCTTGAAGTATTCCCAATTGGCATTGATGTTCCTGAACCTGTAGACTGTGCATCTGAACAGCCTGATCATTCTGAATAACACGTTGTGCCATGAGTGATGCCTCTCCGCGAGGTACTCTGAATTCAAACTCGCCAGTGAATCCCCGATAATGAAAACTGACATCTTCAGTGGTACGTCTGCTAGCTGGTGTGGCCCAAGTAGGAATTGGATCACGAGGTGGGGGACCCATGGACTTCGGAACTACGCCGGTCGGTATCATGGTAATGTTGATAATGTCCGTATATGAAAACGAAGGCAAAAGAGAAAAAAGGAAAAACAATAAAATTGAAGCAGACAACAACCACCTGTAACATTGAAGGATGTTGGTTTAAAACAATGACATCTTGCAGCAACTGTCGCTCCAGAGCCAACATATTGGGTACATTGTTCATGACATTCAAAAGTAAACATATAAAGGTCACAAAAATGTCAAACAGCGAGAAAATTTTAACAACTGAAAACGGAATTGTGAAAGAATCAGAACGTTTTTTGAACTGCAAACTGTGATTCTGTAAGGATCGGACCTGGGTAAGACAACAGGTGAGACCCCCCGAAGGGTTAATCCATCCCTATAGGGATTAATCCTGGTCCTTCGAAGGGACTAATCCGCCCATCGTTGGGACTAATCCGTTGAAGTATGACAAATTGTCATAATTCGCTCCTAAAGTGGAGTAATCCTGTGATTGACATAACAACCACGTCGAATCCGGATTGTCCCACTTGGACATTCCACTATCCACCGGAGCGGCCGGTGACCAGATCTAGACCCGCACGAAGCAGATCGACGGTGCTCACAAGTCAGTGAGTTCACCCAAACACACTGCTTAGGTTGATTTGATGATGTTGAGAGTAGAACTTGCCGTCGCCTGATTTCCTAAGTCACCTTCGATGGGGCACGGTTGCAAACGGTGAAATTCGGGCAATCGATTCTTGCCAAAGGACTCAAAAACAAGGTAATAGAACAGCTTGTGCAAAAGTTCGAACCAACATTGCAGGTACGTCAACCCAGCGTCCGAGGTTGATATCACTGTGACATCAGAAGCGTCTTCGTTGGCTGGAGACTTCTGATTCACACTCCAGCCCCCTGCATGTCTGAATTAAAATTCAGTTCTTATTGTCGCCACATATTGTCTTCCTTGCTTCGTTGTACGAAATTGTAAAATATCCGTATGTTATAACGGGTTTCACACACACACACACGTTTTTACGCTTACATTTTAACACAGACACTTTTACAAACAGACAGTGACGCATTTACCCACAAACACTTTTACACACAAACGCTTTTAAACACAACAGCTTTTACACACAGGCGGTTTTACACACAGCTGCTTTACACACAGAAGCTTTGACACACACGCTTTTACACAATACACTTTTACACACATACACTTTTACACGCAAAAGCTTTTACACATAAAAGCTTTTACACACAGAGCCCTTTACACACAAACATACACAGACACTTTTGCACAAAGACCCTTTTAAAATCTTTTATACATAGGCTCCCTTACTACTCACATACACTTTTACACACAAACGCTTTTACACAAAGACACTTTTACACACAGACACCTTTACACACAAGCACTTGTCCACGTACACACAGAAGCTCATACATACACAAGCTTTCACACACAGCTGCTTTACACTTTACACACAGAAGCTTTTAGACGCAAACGCTTTTACAAGCGGAAGTTTTTACACACAGGTGCTTTTACACACAGACGCTTTTACACACAGAAGCTTTTACACACAAACGCTTTTACACACAAACAGAGGCTTTTACACACAGAAGCTTTTACACACAGACAGACCCTTTAACAGGACCAACCAAATTCGCAATTTTACCTCAGTTTTTTTTGACACTCGAACCTCATTTCGTGCGAACGGGTTGCCGGCGGACCAACCAAAGTCACAATTTTACCTCAGTTTTTGATTTGACACTCGAAACTCATTTCGTGCAAAAGGGTTGCTACTGGAATTTTTACCTCAGTTTTTGAAGATCAAGCTTCATTTCTGCGAAAAGGTTGCCGCTGAGGATGTTAAATCGCAATTTACCGCAGTTTTTGACGATCGAAATTTGATTTCGTGCGAAAGGCCATTTCGTGGCGCCTCGTCAGCACCGCCCGCGGCCTAAAGAGAGAAGAGAAAAGAAAAAGAAGGAGAGAGACCTTGACAGAGGGCAAGGAGAGAAGAGAGAGAGAGGGAGAAGGAGAGAGAGAGAGAGAGAGAGTGTGTGTGAAGATTAGAAGAAGATTAGAAGATGTGAAGAAGATGTGAAGAAGATGTGAAGAAGATGTGAAGAAGATGTGAAGAAGATGTGAAGAAGATGTGAAGAAGATGTGATGAAGATGTGATGAAGATGTGATGAAGATGTGATGAAGCTGTGATCATATGAAGATGTATAGCAGACCTCCACTATTAGAAGGACCCTTCGCTCAGACGCTCAGACGCTCTCGGGTAAAACCAGGTCTGATCAGCGCTGAGTCACTGAAGGCTTCGGGCGAGGGATTCCTTGGCTGGCATGAATGAAGCCCTTCATACTGATGAAACGTGATGTTGATGTGCAAACGTATGCATATGTACACTGTGTATATTATATGTGTGTGTATGATTATATATATGTATTTGTTTGTTTCAACTATGTTTGGGACGTACCTAGTATCATGCTGCTTGGTTTTGCTGATCGTTAGGTTAGGTGATCCTTTAACTACTGTAAATGTCATTGCTAGCGTCTTGCTGCTGCTCTTTTCGATAATTACCGATATTGTCTCCTTTGCTAATGAAACAACGGTAATCCTTACTGGCTATTATGTTCAATCAAGTGTGGAATTTTGTCTCCGTGAAGCTGACGGAAATCTTCAAGAAGCAGCCGGCTATCTGGCTATCATCCAAGCATCTCCAAGGCATTGAAGGCTTTCCAGAAATATCCATCATCAGTGCCTCAGGGATACGCCGCGACATATGGAAGGGTGGCAGGTCGTGCCAGGTGGATTGATCCGTAACGGGAGTCTCAGAGTCATGTGTACCCTCTGGTTATTTAACATAGCCATGGAACATGGTCCATTTATAGATGGTTTACCGATTAAAAATGGTGATTTTCCATGGCTATGTTAAACAACCAGATGGTAGTTGTTTCTTTGGGACACATTTGGTGTTCCATATCTGGGCTTTTCTGCAGGGTATCTCCCTCAGAAAAAAAACATGTCACTGGCGATTTTGGCAGCTGATACCCAGAATCTGGAGCAGCCCCATGTTTGGGGATGGGTCAACAATATCCCCCACACCAGAAGTGGTGCGCCAAGGGGCTTAGAGTCACGGAGCCCTCATAGACTTGTGCAAAGAACAGGTCCCACTTACATCCTGAGATATCAAAGCTGTTGCCAAGATTCCACTTCCCGTTATATGAAACATAATTAATTAGGAATGATGGTGCAATATGATGCATAGTGCAAATAATATGTGAATATAGTTTTGGGATATTCATCTGAAATTGGGAGGAAGTAGCAACTAATGAACTGTAACCACCACCCCAGCTTTGGTATGTGCTGTGAGCCTTCCCGTAAGCTTGGAGGAAAGTCGGTCCCAAGCTTAAGCTCCTAAATTCCTCCAACCGCATCTGATTGGACATGTGTACTCTATGGGAAAAACTTGGAAATTGGAAATCCTTTCAGGCCGCCTGTAAGATCAACTTCCTAACATTGGGCTTCGAATTCTGCGACGCTGCCTGTAACACTTTGTTGAGTATCATCTGATTTATCAGTATTGTTTACAAGGCCTGGGGACGCTGGAATCTGTGAATAATTAAAGAGCAAACATCCAAGTGCAAAAAGACATCCAGCAAACGGGTGTACAGTATCTGAAAATAGGATGCCTCCAAAATCAGCTATAAAAAAAATCTCTCGATCATTATATATTCTCTTTCACTATCCCTATTCAAATGGCCATTTGGAGCATGCAACACATTTTCAGGCACACCCAAACGGACGCGCAATGTTTGCAGTGGCAACTTTGCTAGGATGCATTCCAGCTAAATATGCATGGGTGTGCAACTTAATTACTTGGGATATCTTGGGATAATGATGATTGGCCAGTTGATATTTAGGGATACCCTGAGTCCTACCAGACCAACCTAAACTGGATCTGGATCAAATTGGATCAAATTGGATGGGCAAATGATCTGACCACATCTGACCCGTCTGACCGTCTGACTGCATCATTGGCGAAAGTCCAAAGTAGCGGGGTAAGAGCTGAAGAAGGCCCATCACCTGACAGCTGAGAAAATGCTTGAGCTGAGGAAATTTGGTAAACCAAACTGCGGGTCAAGTTGGTAATTTAGAATATTCTGTTACATGCAAACCATAGACAAACAGTTGAAAAAAACGCATCTTTAAGCTACTTTTCCGATGTGCAGCCTGTATGCATGTCTCCAAGAGCAACTGAAGAATCAGGAATCAAACTGCTCACGGAGATTCATCTCCCAGTGGCCCATGTATCAGCAAAACTAAGTGGTGGTCATGTCAGTGGTCTGGATTGGCAACGGTTTTCAAATGAAAAAATGAAAGAACATACAACAAAAGTGAAACATATGAAAAAAAGAACATGAAACAAACATGCCAAATATGAAAACAAATGCAACAACAATGAAACAACAAGGAAACAACAATGAAACATATGAAGCATATGAAACATAATGAAAATATTTCGGCCAAGAAAACACCAAAACAAACACCAACAAGCGTCGGGGGAAAGAACATGCAAAAAAAAACAAAAAACATGTTATTTTCCTCTTTTTTTCTCTTGGGCCCTGGGACAGTGGGAAAACTTGCATTTGGTGTTTAATTGACATAATGTTTCCGACAATCAGAAATCTCATTTAGTGTTTCCCCATTATATATATATTGTTTTTCTCGTTTCTTCTTTTTGCATGAAACAGAACACATGAAAATAAATGAAATCAACATAATACACAATTAAATGAACATGTCTGACAACAAATAAACATAGATACTTAAATGACATAAATCAAACAACAAAACATGTAAAAAGGTTAAAACAAAAACAAAGAACATGCAAATGCACAAAGGAAACATTTTGTGCTTTGGTAGCATGTTGGATCTCAGAGTCCCGTGTTGCCGTACGTTTGGCACCGCGTGTGCAGCGCAAAGGGAACAAAATCGGATTTGATGGACCACAGTCTGAACAGACTAACTAGAATGAAGTAAAATCACTTTAGTTTATCTATATACATATAACTATATATAATTTGAAATACTTAAACATAATTACATATATAATCAAATATAGTTATATAAACTTATATATATACATACAATTATATAAAATTATAAGTAATTGTAAATGGATACTATATGTAAACTATATGTATATGTTTTTTCTTTTATTTCGTTTTTGTATTTCTGTGTATTTATCTTAAACATGTTTTTTTTTCTGCAGGCTTTTGTTTACTGTGTTTTTTAATTATTTGTTTAAAATTTTGCATCAACCAAACCAGGCTGAAACAAACTCTTGCAACCTGGACCACCACTTAGTCCTGCTGAATATTCAAAACTGCGTCTAGCATCATTTCGAGAAATCCAGGCCGAACCACCTTTGTGCCTTTCAGGAAAGCTGATGCTTGTAAGGACTTATCTCTCTCTCTCTCTATCACCATCTGTTGTTGGCTAAATGTCAAAATTTGTCAAAACCAATGGGTCCCCGAAAACACGGTGGATACGCATCGGGTCTTGATGATCATGACCGTCCTTCCAGGCTGATCTGAAGCTCTCCTTCAAGACAACCTGGCACCATCAACACCGTGGGTTTCACCACATTGCTGGGTTAGTGGTCAAAAATATACCTGATGAGTCAATAAAAGCATGTAATCATGTAAAAACTCCGTTATGATGCTAACACGCATTGCTAACTGACCTTGCTTCCACAAATGAATATCTATGGCACACAACTTGCAACTATATATATATATTCTTTCATAATATATATCTTTCTACGTATCTATATATATATATATGTATACTTCAAATTGTTGGTCGTAAAAAAGAAGAGCAGTTTTTCTTTAAAACTTACAATGGGATATTTTGGTGGTTTGCTATTCATATACAGTAAGTTCCCCTTACTTGGAAGTTTTTGGATGCCTTAAACCAACCATTTGGGTGAATATTTATATCTCAAATAGGTGTATACCTACAGCCATCCCAGTTTAAAAAAAAAAACAAGTGTTTCCAGGAGCATTTGGAGAACATATTCAACACTAATATTTCAAGATGTTTCCCATTTTTCGAACTATTTTATGGCTGCTATAATCATACAACATATCATAATTAAACATATGTTCATTGGTATCCTATAATAATCATAGTAAAACCCAATAGTAAACCCACTTAAAATATCAAAAAATAATGGTTTACTATTGGGTTTTACCGTTTTACCCACATTTTTTTCACCGCAGCGGGATGGGGAGAGTTTTTTAAGTCGCACCTCCAAGGCGCACAAAATGAAGCCACCGCGCCAGCGGCCGCGGCCCGAGGGCGAGCTCCAACCTGAAGTTCTGCACAGCATCGATAGAAATATCAGCTTATAATATATATATATATATGTACGTATATATATATTTATGTGCAATTATGTGAATCAAAATATGTGCATATATAAATAATCATAAAACATTTCTAGACAATACATAGCACAAGCACATGTTAGGATTTACTCTCTGTCAAGCAAACGTGGCAATTGTTCATCCAAAATGGACGTCTGGACATGCTCGACATCTTGAAGGTGAGCTCCCTGTTTGGCAACAGCTACATGTCTCAACATCAACAGCAAACACGATTCTCCAGCATCAGGATCTCTGCATGCAAAACCCATTGCAAGGCTGCTAACCATAGGTGGAACATCACTAACCCAAAATCAAATGCAACTTTTAATGATAATTATAACCACTACCGGATTTACCTACCATGGCGTCTCACACGCAGCTACTTGCAAGAAATCCTTCTTCATGAACGTGCGCTCTTGGTCACCACTTGCCAAAGAACAGTTTATGAAAAGAAGCGGCCCACATGAAACTGAACTTCGAGGAAGCCGACGTCCAAGTGGGAAAAACGGCATCCCATCGGCAAACGAACACATCTCAACATGCCTCAGGAAATCTGTGCCACGAGCCGAACCGGCCCTGCAAGCAACTGATGGGTCGTCCTGCTTCACCATGCAGCGCGAAGTTGAAAGGTGTGACCTCAGTGGCTGAGATCCTGTGCCTTTGCTCAAGTAGTGATCTGCTTCATTGGCATTTTAGTAGCACACAGAAGATATTGCCCTCTTCGACTTCGACTTTTTTGGGGCAGCTACCTGAACCAGGGGCTGTAAGTATGGGGGTTGGCATCGTTGGCATTGATGATTCTATGATGTTGTTTGATAGTTTTTGGCACAGGCTGGCTGTAGTGTAGTGCAACTCGCAATGGGATGTCCGTTGTGTTTTTGTCCATTGTTCAGGTGATTTTTTGTTGCCATTTGTTGGGGAAATATATAAATCCAGCACCATTGAAAATATGAAGCTGACCTCTTTTCTATAAGGTGCATTCACATGCCAAGGATCTTGCGACTAGTCAGTGTTTGTCTCATGTTCAAGCTGCAGTGATGATACCAGAAATCATGTCGTCTTGAAATGTTGCTAGTGCAAGCTGATTGCTGCAAAATTGGAAAACATTGGAAAACTAAGAGAGCGCCATACTCTTTCCAGAACCTAGATCCCCAATCACTACAAGAATAAAGTTTGTTGTTTTCCGCCGGTGGGGGCAAGACCTGTCGATATCACTCCACTTCTGTTACCTGCCATGCTGCAATGTCACCTGCTGTTCCTTCACACTACCCTCGGATGGTGTGGACAAACATCTAAACATGAAGGATTAGTTTGCATTCCTTTTTCGTTTTGGAAGACCTGCAGGTCATACAAACAAACCTCAGATTGAGGATGATTGAAGTCTTACCACTTTTTCTGGTAGGTAAGTCATGGGGCAAACGGCCACACACTCTCTCTCTCTCTCTGTTTCTCTGGTTTGCCCCCATTTTTTGGCCGTACCCTCTGGTCACCCATTCAAAAAATATGTTCGCATATTTTGTTCTTGAGCTCAGCACATTCTTTTATTGTGAACCGGTTTGTCATGGTGTATCATTGTTCTTCCTCTGTAATTGGCTGTGGTATACCATGGTATCACGCCCGCCCTTGTAATGACCAACTGGCGAAGGCGAAACAGCCAAGCTGCATGTGGGTTCACCTGCACTGCCACTGTATATCGCACGCCAAAGGCCTCAAAGATCTGGGCTTGTCTGATACGGATATGCCATGATACGGAAACAGTCTGACGAATTATGATTGCAGTAATCTGATCGCATAATCGAGCATCATATAATCACAAAATTCCTGAGGTACGCTCTTGTGAAACAGACCTTTTCAAACCATCAGGTTAGTTACGGTTAGTTAGTTTATGTTGTTTTCAATGTGTTCAAGTAGCATCTGGGTTTCTACCGCTAATTCCACGCCTGCGCCAGGGTCAAGGATGGAATATCGAAGTCCTAGGCGGTGTGAAACTTGGCTTGCAGGAATCAAGCATCAAGCTACACACACACATTTCACCGTACTGGCCATTGACCAAATTGTCCATTCTTGTTTTACTGGCAATACATCAGTATTTGCCTACCCAATAGGCCACTTTGTGGATTTAAGCAATTTAAAATGACATTCACCATCCACAGCCTTTGTCCTAAAAACGAAAACCAATGGAATTTGAGCGATTTTGAGTGGAATGCCCCAACTAGTGGAACTACCCCAACTAGTGGAACTGCCCTGCAAAATCAGGACGCTCTCGAGTCCCGTTGGTGGTGCGTCACATAGTGCTACCCAGAATCGATGGAACCATCCGCATAGCATGTTTGCCTCTCACAATGAGCGCCTCGTGGCACGTTCAGCGGACAAGTCCCCTGACTGGTAATCAATATCCTCAAAAACGGAGTGGTTTTTATAGGCATCTTAACCCATACATTCAATACCTGTATGTATTGCTATGTGTACCTATTTGATGTTGAAACATGTTTTAAAATGTATTTCACATATATATTTATATAATTGTATGTACATACATATCATTCAGAGTGATGATTCCCCTCTAGAACACGTTGATACAAGTGTATGCCACCTTTTAATCCCGTTTCGTTTTTGCAGCATACCCCACATGACAACCACCACGTCTAAGGTTGATATAATTCTAGGAACATGAACATGACCATCTTTTCCACGAGAAATTATCCTAATCAAAAGGGATCAGAATCATGCTGGAATCCTGGAGTGCATAAATTCAATATTCCCCATGTTCGGAGTGCATGTGCATATGTAAATATAATATATATATATTTATATTATATATATATAATCATCCACAGAAACTTAAAAACAATAGAACCCCATATGAAAAACAATGACAAACTACCGTTCTATTTTTTTCGGGTTACTACATTTGAACTGTGTACTTCTCATGGCCTTTTTCGTGAAACAAAAGATGCGGTCCAGCTGCGAATGAGACCAGTTTCCGGACATTTCTGCAAAAGCCTCAGGAGCAGCCGCCACATGCGGGCCATGTCTGTAGGAAAATGTGGCTGTAAAATATTGTAAACATCATCCATTGCATATATGAATCCATGTGATATGGTATAAATGATAAATGTATAGAACTGGTTGGTGGTATCAAACACCACGGAGGAAAAAACGCGCACACACACATATATATATATATACACACCATATATATATAAGAGAGAGATAGATTTATTTATTTATAACATATATGTATATATATATACTTATATATGTATTCCTATGTATGTGTACAGGAATATGTCAATTCGGAGTCATCATCCCACATAAGGGAACTCACGCATACAGCATATTTGACAACATCCACCAAACAGGGATATATCGTATCACTTGTAGGAAAGCATTAGATCAATGATTTTATGAAATCCTCCAAACATGTGTTTTTATTTGAAAACATGACTACATCTATGGATCTAAATACTGCGTTACCCCATGGAAAAACAAGGGAAGGTCCCCTTCTAGGCGTCGCGCGTTTTTTAACGCACGACGCCTTTAAAACCTGCATTTCGTGATTTTTCAAAAAATGCATCTTCCAAGAGGGGTCTCCGAAGTAACTTTTTTCCCGAGAGCGTCTGAGCGCAGGGTTCTTCCAATAGTGGGGGTCTGTATCTCACCTTCTCATCTTCACACCTTCTCATCTTCACATCTACTCATCTTCACATCTGCTCATCTTCACATCTTCTCTCACATCTGCTCATCTTCACATCTGCTCATCTTCACATCTTCTCTCACATCTGCTCATCTTCACATCTGCTCATCTTCATATCTTCTCTCGCATCTTCTCTCACATCTTCTCTCATCTGCTCATCTTTCTTCATATCTTCTCTCACATCTTCTCTCACATCTGCTCATCTTCACATCTGCTCATCTTCACATTTGCTCATCTTCACATCTTCTCTAACATCTTCTCTCACATCTGCTCATCTTCACATCTTCTCTCACATATTCTCTCACATCTTCTCTCACATCTGCTCATCTCCACATCTTCTCTCACATCTGCTCATCTTCACATCTGCTCATCTTCACACCTTCTCTCACATCTTCTCACCTTCACATCTTCTCTCCTTTCTCTCTCCTTTTTCTCTCTCTCGCCTTCTTTATCTTTCTCTCTTTAGGCCGAGGGTGGTACCGGCGGCGAGTCACGAAACGGCAACCCTTTCGCACGAAATGAGGGTCGATCGGCAAAAACTGAAGTAAAATTGCGATTTTTCGTGTCCCGGAGCAACCCTTTCGCACGAAATGAGGGTCAATCGGCAAAAACAGAGGTAAAATTGCGATTTTTCGTGTCCCGGAGCAACCCTTTCGCACGAAATGAGGGTCAATCGGCAAAAACAGAGGTAAAATTGCGATTTTTCGTGTCCCGGAGCAACCCTTTCGCACGAAATGAGGGTCAATCGGCAAAAACTGAGGTAAAATTGCGATTTTTCGTGTCCCGGAGCAACCCTTTCACACGAAGTGAGGGTCGATCGGCAAAAACTGAAGTAAAATTGCGATTTTTCGTGTGCCGGAGCAACCCTTTCGCACGAAATGAGGGTCAATCGGCAAAAACTGAGGTAAAATTGCGATTTTTCGTGTCCCGGAGCAACCCTTTCACACGAAGTGAGGGTCGATCGGCAAAAACTGAAGTAAAATTGCGATTTTTCGTGTGCCGGAGCAACCCTTTCGCACGAAATGAAGGTCGATCGTCAAAAACTGAGGTAAAATTGCGATTTTACTTGTGCCGGACTTGTCTGTGTGTAAAAGCGCCTGTGTGTAAAAAGCGTCTGTGTGTAAAAGCGTCTGTGTGTAAAAGCGTCTGTGTGTAAAAGCGTCTGTGTGTAAAAGTGTTTGTGTAAAAGTGTTTGTGTGTAAAAGCGTCTGTGTGTAAAAGTGTCTGTGTGTAAAAGCGTCTGTGTGTGTGTAAAAGTCTCTGTGTGTAAAGGCGTCTGTGTGTAAAAGCGTCTGTGTGTAAAAGTGTTTGTGTGTAAAAGTGTTCGTGTGTAAAAGCGTCTGTGTGTAAAAGCTTCTGTGTGTAAAAGCGTCTGTGTGTGTAAAAGCCTCTGTGTGTAAAAGCGTCTGTGTGTAAAAGCGTCTGTGTGTCAAAGCGTTTGTGTGTAAAAGCGTCTGTGTGTAAAAGTGTTTGTGTGTAAAAGTGTTTGTGTAAAAGTGTTTGTGTGTAAAAGCCTCTGTGTGTAAATGTGTTTGTGTGTCAAAGCGTCTGTGTGTAAAAAGCGTATGTGTGTAAAAGCTTCTGTGTGTAAAAGCCCCTGTGTGTAGAAAGCGTCTGTGTGTAAAAGCGTCTGTGTGTAAAAGCGTCTGTGTGTAAAAGTGTCTGTGTGTAAAAGCGTCTGTGTGTAAAAGCTTCTGTGTGTAAAAGCGTCTCTGTGTGTAAAAGTCTCTGTGTGTAAAAGCGTCTGTGTGTAAAAGTGTCTGTGTGTAAAAGTGTTTGTGTTTGTGTGTCAAAGCGTCTGTGTGTAAAAAGCGTCTGTGTGTAAAAAGCGTCTGTGTGTAAAAGCGTCTGTGTGTAAATGTGTTTGTGTGTCAAAGCCCCTGTGTGCAAAAAGCGTCTGTGTGTAAAAGCTTCTGTGTGTAAAAGCGTCTGTGTGTAAAAGTGTCTGTGTGTAAAAGCGTCTGTGTGTAAAAGCTTCTGTGTGTAAAAGCGTCTCTGTGTGTAAAAGTCTCTGTGTGAAAAAGCGTCTGTGTGTAAAAGCGTCTGTGTGTAAAAGTGTCTGTGTGTAAAAGGGTCTGTGTGTAAATGTGTTTGTGTGTAAAAGTGTTTGTGTAAAAAAGCGTCTGTGTGTAAAAAGCGTCTGTGTGTAAAAGCGTCTGTGTGTAAAAGCGTCTGTGTGTAAAAGTGTTTAAAGTGTTTGTGTGTAAAAGCGTCTGTGTGTAAAAGCTTCTGTGTGTAAAAGTGTTTGTGTAAAAGTCTCTGTGTGTAAAAGCGTCTGTGTGTAAAAGCGTCTGTGTGTAAAAGCGTGTGTGTGTAAAAGTGTCTGTGTGTAAAAGCGTCTGTGTGTAAAAGCTTCTGTGTGTAAAAGCCCCTGTGTGTAGAAAGCGTCTGTGTGTAAAAGCGTCTGTGTGTAAAAGCGTCTGTGTGTAAAAGTGTCTGTGTGTAAAAGCGTCTGTGTGTAAAAGCTTCTGTGTGTAAAAGCGTCTCTGTGTGTAAAAGTCTCTGTGTGTAAAAGCGTCTGTGTGTAAAAGCGTCTGTGTGTCAAAGCGTTTGTGTGTAAAAGCGGCTGTGTGTAAAAGTGTTTGTGTGTAAAAGTGTTTGTGTAAAGGTGTTTGTGTGTAAAAGCCTCTGTGTGTAAATGTGTTTGTGTGTCAAAGTGTCTGTGTGTAAAAGCGTCTGTGTGTAAAAGTGTTTGTGTGTAAAAGTGGTTGTGTAAAGGTGTTTGTGTGTAAAAGCCTCTGTGTGTAAAAGCTTCTGTGTGTAAAAGCGGCTGTGTGTGTGTACAAGTGTTTGTGTAAAAGTGTTTGTGTGTAAAAGCCTCTGTGTGTAAGTGTGTTTGTGTGTCAAAGTGTCTGTGTGTAAAAAGCGTCTGTGTGTAAAAAGCGTCTGTGTGTAAAAGCGTCTGTGTGTAAAAGCGTCTGTGTGTAAAAGTGTCTGTGTGTAAAAGCGTCTGTGTGTAAAAGTGTTTGTGCGTAAAAGTGTTTGTGTAAAAGTGTTTGTGTAAAAGTGTTTGTGTGTAAAAGCCTCTGTGTGTAAATGTGTTTGTGTGTCAAATGTGTCTGTGTGTAAAAAGCGTCTGTGTGTAAAAAGCGTCTGTGTGTAAAAGCGTGTGTGTGTGTGTAAAAGCGTTTGTGTGTAAAAGCGTCTGTGTGTAAAAGCGTCTGTGTGTAAAAGTGTCTGTGTGTAAAAGCGTCTGTGTGTAAAAGTCTCTGTGTGTAAAAGCGTTTGTGTGTAAAAGCGTCTGTGTGTAAAAGCGTCTGTGTGTAAAAGTCTCTGCGGGTAAAAGCCTCTGTGTGTAAAAGCGTCTGTGTGTAAAAGCGTCTGTGTGTAAAAGCGTCTGTGTGTAAAAGCGTTTGTGTGTAAACGTGTCTGTGTGTAAAAGCGTCTGTGTGTAAAAGCGTCTGTGTGTAAAAGCGTCTGTGTGTAAAAGCGCCTGCGTGTAAAAAGCGTCTGTGTGTAAAAGCGTCTGTGTGTAAAAGCGCCTGCGTGTAAAAAGCGTCTGTGTGTAAAAGCGTCTGTGTGTAAAAGCGTCTGTGTGTAAAAGAGCCTGTGTGTAAAAAGCGTTTCTCCATACTAACAACAGAAGACTCTGCTCCTCTACGCTCTCGGGCCATCCGTCGTCTAGTTTACCTCACCGAAGCAATTGATGATGATGATGATGATGATAATGATGATGATCATGTTGATGATCATGTTGATAATCATGATGGTGATGGTGATGATGATGTTGATAATGATGACGAGAATGTTGATCATGATGATGGTAATGATGATGTCGGCAATGATGATGATCATGTTGATGATGATGTTAATGATGATGATTATGTTGATAACGATGATGATGTTGAAGATGATGATGATGTGAATTGCAAAGAAGAAATGCGTGTAAGGAAGTAGTTGCAAGTACGCTGGTTAACGTGAACGTTCTAATCCCCCCCAAACCCAACCCCATGCCCACACGCCACCGGACACCAACATCAACATATCAAAACCGAAACATCGACCGCGTGTCAAACCGTGACTTGCAAAAGTGAAAAGCGTGTCAAGAACGAAGATGCAGGAACGTTAATAAACAAGAACGTTATTGCCCCCCCCAACACCCCCCCACCCCCCCCACCCACCCCACCCCACCCCACCCCCCCACCACATCCCACCCCCCCAAACAAACCCTGGCATGCCAACACGCAACTATCACCGCAAGCGCGGCACGAAACACAGCAAAAAGCGCAGAAAATGCAACGGCGCGCAAGAAAACAGTGTAGAACGTGGAATGAAATGGATGCTTCGAAAATGACGTAAACATGAAAAAACGACAGCACTCCGCGACGCCCTCGCGGGGTCCTTACCAAAAACAAGGAGTTTGTCCGTTTTTTAGGGTTGGTGTTTGAGCCAGCCATCCCAAACAATAGCCACACAAAAAGGGCCCAGCACCGCAGCACCTTGAGATGGCAATAGACAATCCATCAATCACATCTCAACCCCAAAAAAAACTCAACAGTTGAAGACTAATCATTGATTTCCCGGCCAGGTAGGGCTGTAGAATTGGCTTCTACCATAACTTTCCAAACTTCCAGGCGCTGATCTTCGCCTCGGGACTTGCTGGGATTCAGCAGCCCAGGCATGGAGCCGGAACAAATCACCGCGGAACAAATCAAGACCTCAAGCTATGGCAGCCGTGGCCATCCGCGGACGTTGTGGCCGGGAATCATGGGAAAGTCATGGGCATCTGCTGGTGGATGTGGAACAATTGGATGCTTCTGAATGTATATGGATATGATAGTGATATTTTTTATGTGATTTAATTTCAAAAGAATCCTCAGATCGTGTCCGTGCTTTTCTTGGTGAAACGAAATGTCCACTGGTTACTGGCACCTCTGCTCAAGAAATTCGACCAGCAGGGGACATCCAAGTGCTTTAAGAGTTAAACATCAAAATGTGGTTGGAACCGCTGACCTATCAGTGGCCAGCAAGTCGTTAGCAACGGGCTTGCAGTATGTTTCGCGGCCTACCTGGCCCTGATAACCGTATTCCCATGGCACCAGGCAAGCCTAAAACGTGTTTAACAAAAAGTCATTCTTCAGGTATCTTATCTTCAAGCAAAATAGTTCATGATGTAAACATGGGTGGACGGTGGTGATGATGGTGATGATGGTGTATGCATCAAAGAGATACACATATTCTGTATCATATATATATATATATGCATATGATTACATAATATTTTTTCATTTATATTTGTTTAAAAGTCAGGGTTGGGCCTAGGGTTCGATTCAATGATTTGAACATTTTTTGTTTCAACGATGTTTAAACCAAACATGTTTAGACCAATCCGGGGTAGTGGGGGACCCTATAGTATCTTTAAGAACATGTTTACACGAATTTCAACAGATTGTGGACCTAACCGCATGAGATCATGTGTACTTGCAGCATCAATCAGACAAAAACCCGCTGCTAGTGACATCACCTGGCGGTTCCGTTCTTATTACTCGAATCACTCATTTGCAACATCTTCAATCAGCCCCGCAACATATAGGTTTAAATGTTTAAACCCTTCAGGGGTCATGGCTCTAAACGTTTTTAACGCGGTTTGAAGTGTAAACGGTTTAATGTTTAAACGTGTTTGGACCGACTCGTTCTGTTCATCTTGGCAGATCCAAGTAACATGCGGATGGGTCTGGTAGTTCAACAACAAGGGCACTTGCCTTGCTGCAGGTCCCGGTGGGTATGGCTCCGTGCTCTATTGATGGTTCACTATCCGGGGAAACTATGGGAAACATGGGAAACTCATGGTAAACCATTGTACAGCTGGGGTTCAATGGCAATTCGTTTGCGGTTCCATTGCTTGTTGCAGTCTCTCTCTCTCTCTCTCTCTTTCTCTCCATCGCCATCTCAACAGGTGAGACTGACCTAGGATCAGGGGCGAGTAGCACAGGAACCCTACAAATGGGGCAGCCAAAAGCACAAAACAATCGCTTGTTGCAATGGTTAGGGCAGTTTGGCTGGCAGCTGCGCCTCTACACATATGGCTAGCAATATGTCTGTATATACATATGTATTTATTTATACTGTATCCACCTGCAAATATACTACGTATATATATATATATACCTTGACGACCACCTTGTTTTTGGTTAGCAATTCATTTTTTTGAGTGGACACCGGAAGACACCTTTGCCTGAGTCCTCTCGGTTCGCTCAGAGCCGAAGGGAGCAGTGGAACAAATGGTCGTCGTCCACTTGACCACGGGGGCCTTCAATCATCTTATGGATTCATCCTTGCGGGTTGTACAAGCATCACCGTCTATACTAGCCTATGTATATATATATATATACACATTTCGTACTACAGTATATACGATGGATTTCTCTGATCAAACAAGTATCTTTAATTATTGAATACATAATTATGAATATAGATGATAACAAATGCAACTAAAAATGTATCCAATACAGAGTATTGCAGGGTAGCAAAACGTGGCAAATACCATAGTATTGAAACATATTGAAACAACATGCCAAAGTTCTGGATTTCACCTACCTCCAAAAAAAGTGGATGTAACATGATGTAATGTAATCATTTCATGGGTGTCCAAGATGCTCGCCATTGTCAGCGGCCACAGTGCTCACCGTGATGTTGAGCACCTTGGAAGGCAGAAAGCCATGGATTTACCAGCTGGCAGCCAAAGTTAAGGCTTTCCCTGGCTTTCCTGTAACACAAATCCCTCAAGCATTTCCGGAAATGATGTTACCCATGCAAAGTGGTGATTTTCCCATAGCCAAGTTAGTTTACCAGAGGTTATCTAACTTCTCGGGACTTTACCCACACAACAACCGGTCCAAGCACCATCCCCGGGCCAAGCCACACGTCCGGTGCGTCGAAAGGCTTCCAGAAAGGTGGTATCTCCAAGGGCCCAAGTTCTAGGCGACATGGACATACTACGAAGAGTGGGTAATAGTAGGTAAACACGGTAAAAAACCATATAGAAATACACAAAATGAAGTAGGTAATAACATGTAATAACGATAAATCACAAAAAAAAATATGGGGTCTACGGCGTAACGGTATACCCGACCACAGAAACAAAAAACAGGGCATCACCTTCCATAACATGGAAATCTGTGCCGTTCCACAAATCACAAGTCATGGGGCTTTCCTAAGTCAGGGGTACCCTAAAATCATCATAGACCAGCTCTTGGGGTATCCCCATTGATGTAAATCATCAACTTTTTTTAGATGTATTTTCCATATATAAACATTATAAACCATCCAGCTATTGGAGTATCCCCATTGATGTCTCACCAAGTGAGCCAAGGCACTCAGCCCAGCGTTCGATGGGCTCCCGTGGAAACACGCAACCTGAGGGCATCGTTCGGGGTCATCGGGACACAAACCGGGTCTCAGATGTCTGCAGAGTCTGGAAAAAAACATCCAACATGTAACACTGGGACAGCCTGCAGAACATTGAACATGACTTGCCGGTTGGTGGTTTCAACCGATTTCAAGCCGTCCCAAAAGTTATGAATACTATATTATATAATGTATGTATATATATATGTATTGATTTAATTTGGATCGTTCAAATCAATGAATGCTGACTATAACAACTGCAACTAATATTGCCAAAAATGCCACTAATTTCACATTGATGTTCTTTGTTGGCTCGGGTTTGCATTGGCAGCTGCCAAATCAAAATTGGACGGCTTAAAACAGCTGACTTTAACCAGCGCTTATTGATAATAAATCCCATGAATCAAACCGAGCTTCCTTGTCCTACCAATCCTGTGAGCAAACCACCCAAGTGGCGAGCACGCCGGCAAATCAGAAACGAGAGACCCAATGCCCCTACGATGATCAAATCCCAAAAGAAAAAACATCACGCGTATCATTAAATAAATGTGCTGCATATCGGAGAAAAAACATCAAACCTTCCAAAGGCCAACCTGGATAACATATCAACCACCAACCAGAAATGGCTTGAGGCTTCGGTCTGAAGGTAGCAACCGCATCACCCAGGGTATTGATCTGCATCAACTTTCTCTTGCAATATATGGTGCTACAGTCTACAGTGGTTTCAAATCGTCATCCCCGCCCTCTACAGACTCTGGCAATCAGATGATTTTCCCGTTGATTCCCAGTGCCTAATTGGATTAGTTAGTGAATATAATATAATATAATATAATATATATATATACTAATGAGGCACTAATATGTAGATATACATACTAGTGAAGATATATATCTAATATATAGATATTCTCTATATTGGTTACAGTAGTTCACCCCCTTGGACCAAGCCATGATGCCATGTCGAAGGTAGTGCCTGATCCGATCCAACCAACTGCCGGCCCATAGGGTGATGGACGGTTGCACCTGGGCACTGCATTAGCCATGTGTGGCAATGAGGGTTAAGCCTATATATATATACATAATTATATATACTGTGTATATATATATATATGTCTATATACTTATATAATCTTATATAGACTATATACACTTATGTAGATGATGACCCCAACTAGCAAATGCCAAGGTTACTTTGGAGATCTTTGGAGCACTGTTCGGGGAAAGCCGGAAAGCTTGCCCTTGCCACCATTGCTTCTTCAATCCATCATCTCAGAATTACAATCTTCCCAAGTGACAGCCGATAAATGTGTTCATACATAAGTAATCAAATGCCCCAAACAAACATCGCCCAACCTTTAAGGGGATTTACTACCAACAACCATTCGGTTGGGTGATGTACAGAACGCCCCCAAGACATGGAAGATTTACGAACCGTACAATACTCCCACCAACATAAACATCCTTCACCCGTCTAGGCCTCATCTGGGTCCAAACGCAAAGGATACCTGAGCTGCCAGGAATGTCTCTTGATTCAAGGAAACAACCTTTGACCCAGCTATGTTCTGGAGCTCGCTTGAACCCGATTTGACACCTCAAACCTACTCAACATGGCTTGTTGGTGATTTAAAAACTCAAAAACTTTGAAATCAACTGAAAGCACCCCCCTGTCCCTGCCGAATAGCGAACCAGAGCCCATGTATCCCCATGTCCCATGTACGGTACCTCATTCTACCAGGTTGTCCGCATCAATTGGTTTCTAAATATTCAAATTAATAAGAACAAATAAAATCAATAAAAATAAATAAAGATAAATGAAGATAGATAGATCGATAAATAGATCGATAGATCGATAGATCGATAAATCCATAGATTCATAGTTTCAAAGAATCGTAGATATGATATGTTTTTTTCCCACGAACTACCTGCTTCCTCTTTTGTTGTCTAAAGTTGATCAAGAATTCACCGACCATTTCTCTGAGGCGCTTGGCGCCGCCGGCGCCGGCCTCGGAGCCCAGCAGCTCTCCGTCGGTGCGGCAGCAGACGTAGGCCGCGATGGCGGCGCCGCCGGAGGTGCCGCTGATGATTTTGGGCAGCAGCCCCTGGCGCCTCAGCACCATGAACCGATTGGAGACCTGGCTGGGAAAACCTGGGAAATATGAATAGTGACCTAAGAGCCACGAACCGCCATTCTGGTGTGGCTGGATTGGGAGAGTCAGTATGCCGTCCATCATATGGGTGAACATAGGAAAAAATGGAACATCTGGAGAACTGGGATGTGTTTTGGAAATTCAGGATATGGACGGGTGAATTGAGCATGTTAATATACAGTAGTAGCACATATATATATAATTTATATATAATACTTATCTATGCACACATATAAACAATCATAAACATGTGCATATAAATATACAAAATATAAGACAATAATGTAATATATAAAGATGATAGATAGAAGGCAATGGAAGCATCTAACTGTAAATATCTGGGATAGGCAAATAGGCAGTCAATTCCACACCAGGCCACAGAAGCGTGCTATATTCTACTGTAAGCCCATACCATACGAGTCACGCAAGCAATCTATGACTGACACCACTCAAACCACAAATCAGACCTATTGGTTCCAAACCTTATTGACCTTTGTCATGTTGCCCCATCAGTTGAACAAACTCTCTAGCAGTTGATGACTGCCTAACATAAAGGGCTATTGGCCAATCACTACCCAGTATCGTTGGTTCCATCAGAATGCTTATCGTCTGCTGGCCGAACGTCCGCCTTTTCCAATGTGACACTTATCCACACCTAAAAGTAAAGTTCAAGTCAATCTACATATACCTTTCCAATCTGCATAATGACAATACTGACTTTATCATTATTAACCACTCCTGTGAACGTTGCTACCGCGGTGTTCAAACATCAACGCCCGTATATACGTTAAACTGCAAGTGCCCAGTGGTGATCCTCACGGCCGCCCTTTTTTCTGTTTTTTTCCTTCGTTCCCGGTCGATCTGGCTCACTTTGCACCACTTGGGAGGACCTTGGGAGACAGCGGTGGCCGTAGATTAGTGGTAGATAGTGGTTATAGTCAGATATAATTAATCAGTACGAAGAAAAAACTCGGAAAGTCTTGTTTTGGCACTGAATCACCAGCTCAGGAGTTTACATTGTTTTGAAATGTTTTAGGTTTTCATACGAACTTCCATTACGTTCCACTGATCTTGACCGTCTTGACCATTAGCCCTATTTTGTTGGCAGATTCCTGCCCCAACCTATGCCTGGGAAACCCCCAAAATGCCCCAACCAATTGTTCTCCAATTCGCGCCCCCTCCACCGGTCCACCGCCAAGAAAAAATGCCAACTTCCTCAGAATCTGCCAGTTGCGCCGCACCTTCGCCAACCATCAGGGCGACGCATCTTCTCCAGTGGCCCGCGTCAAGGTCAGCCACTTCCAGCCTGCCACACCACCATTGGCCCAGCCGGCTGCAAAAGGCAGGCGCAAGCGAAGGTACTGGGTGTCCTCCTAGGTGCTGTGAATGGCCCACACACACAGACATGGCAAACCTTTAATGATGCTGCGGAAAAAAAACATAGAGGACCGCACCTGCGATTCCATTCGTAGCTGAACATATCTACCAAACCATCCAAACCTATTAATCAACCAAGAGCTGCAGAGCTAACGCTGATCTGTCGCGTGCAAAAAAAACAAGTTCAAACCGTTGAGTCCACGGAAAATGTGTCAGAATGGAACTTACCGACTGTTTGTCAAGCTTGGGTGCCAGTGAACCAACTGTTTTAAAAACTAAGTCCGTTTGATTGAAAAGTCTGCAATCTTGACCAAACCACTTCCCAACCTCGGACTTGCATGAGACCCCCAATAATCCCAGGCCATCCACATGCTGTCCTTGACAACGGTGCCCTCGAAAGGATCATCTGGCAGAGGGGACTCTGGGAAAACGCCTCTGCGTCTCCAGGACCTGGGGTAGCTGGGCATCTGGCTGCCGCAGTCTGTGATTCAACCACCGGGAAGGAAGGTTTCATTTGCCGTTTTGTGGCATCAACTGCATCAACAATTATATCATTAATAACAAACCAACGACAAATTTCAAACCTGAATACATCGTCGTTGTTGGGGCCCCAGCCAAGCACAACAAATTAGATGACCGCACAACGCTTTAAAAAATCACATTTAAAGGAACGTTGCCTTCTGATGCCTTGTGTTCTTGTTGGTGAATTTCCCTTTGACATTAGTCAAAACCCAAATGCTGGCAAACATCAAAATAACAGGCAGGTGGATGTTCATTCTTAAGGACGGTATTTATAGGTAGTGATCCATAGCCATGTCTTTGTTGGCTCAGGAAATGTGCCAGCAAAGCCCTCGTCGGAGCCAAGGAACGAGATCAACATCTGGAACTGAAAACCAGTGCCCATGCTCAGCGTCCCCGTCTCAGCTGAGTTCACCAAAGGGATCATTGCTGCAACCACTGATTATTAAACAAAATAAACATATCTTTGGGTCCTGTTCTCTGATAATTAAGAATTTGATGTTTAAAAATCTTATTTGATGTTGAAACATAGCCTGCTACAAATGTCTAAAAACAAACATATCCAATTTAAACACCATCCAAGACAAAACTAACGCTTCCGCTTGCTTTGGAAAATCTTACTTGATCTTAGCCCCAGCTGGCAATTGGCTGGAATCCAAGGAGCTCATGGAACCCCCCAATCACCCCAATCACAAGCCAGTTCTTCAAGGAACGTATTCATAGGGGTCATAGACGGCGTCCTGCAAAAAAAACACAGCATTTGCGAATCTTCTGAGAGATGGGAAATTCCAATTGAACTCCGTGTTGCAATCCATCCAACTAATGTAGATTATGGGGTAGGAAGACATGGAAGACAACTTTCCAACCTCGAGATGGGCAATTCTCAGGGTCTACGTGAGATGGGGGTGATGGGATGGACCATTGCCATGCTTAGTTGCCGCAAGCTAACCCTGCTTTGAGACTCCTGACCGGGAGCCATACCCCAGGCAATTTCAAACTAAGGGCTCATTCAAAATGTTCAAAGACTCCAGTAAGTCAACACGATAGTGAACACAAGTTCTTGTGGGTGGCACCATTTCATATGCCTTGAAGGACGCCAAACATTTGGCATACCATCTAAGCACACACTTAGAAACACCCCGAATGGGGAGGATGAAATGAGATGAAATGAGAATTTGTGTTTCCGCCTGCTGGGTTTCCGGCTTAGCCCAGTTGCCATTCAAAAACAATTCGTGCAGGTACAAGAATTGGCGTCCCAATTCTCTTCCAACTGATTTCCGTAGCTTCGTTGGCACGGATGGGACATCAGTCTCCGTGCCGCCTGCTCTGCTGGTATGATTTGAAAGGAACGATACAAACTAATGTGCTGCCTGTCTGGAGATGCACGGAGGGCCGGATTCAAACTCATGTGCAACATGAGTAATATGCGTCAAATTGCATGAGACTGCCACATCCAAGCTTAGGCGTTGCATGCCTTAAAGTGCTTTGAACTGCTGTGCCAAAAACCCTATTCTGTTGGTAGACGAAACGAACGATCAAAACTCATGCGGTGCACATCTGAAGATGCACTGAAGCGCCGGAGTCAAACTTATGTGTAACATACACTACTTCAAACTGTATTAGAATGCCGTATCCAAGCTTATGCATTGCATGCCTCAAAGTGCAATGAACTGCTGTATCCAAACCCCTTCTCTGCTGGGAGCACTCTAAGCACTTCCTAACCAGTCCCCTAGGTCTTCCATTCTTCTGCGGGTCCCCATCGGACTGTCCTCATCGCCAGAGGTCGCCGATGTGATCTCATCTTCCGTGATGGATAGCTGGAACTCATCGGAGGCGTCGCCTTTGTCGTCCCCCGGATTTAAGAATTTTGAAGAACGGGAGATCATGAGAAAAACATCCATTAATGGGCAAACATGGGGAGACACACACACACACACATATATATATATATATCTATATACACGTATATATATATATATTGCATGATATTCAATGAGCAATATATATTGACTGGATTGCTTAATCCTGTCCACCGAAGATTAAATGACTGGATCCTATATACATGATGGAATACAAAAAAAAACGGAGCTTGGAGATGCTAAAATTTGGGGAAATGGCTTAATTGCATTGGTGATCTTTGATGATGAACCCAGCTTCTCAAATGATGATTTATGCGTTTGCATATGTATACATATGGGTGATAACCACTATATATTATATATTCATCTATATATATATATATATTTCGTGATGATAAAACCAACAAATCTACCAAATGCACCACGAGGAGCTGTGGGCCGGGCTGTGATTTTTGTCGCTATTACAGTCTTTCATGGTTGTGAACCACCAACTATAAGTGGGATGCACATTCATGCAATAACTGTAGTAATTACAACAATAAACACGTTTGACAGTTTGACAAAGCTCTAGGGAGGAAAGCCTCAAAACAGGATGCAACATGTTCAATCAGCTGCGTTGCAAATGCGTCCCCATTGAAACATTTTCTCTGGAATCCATTGGAATCCCATTTAGGCTTCATTCAGCGAAGAACATGCCTGGTGATCGAGCTACCGAGAAGAAACGCACAAATGGTATCATAGCATTGTCACAGTCAACCCCATAAACTCATATTAGACTCGTTCATTGCTTCAACTGCAATGTAGGCAATGTAACGGCATGTACATCACCATTTTCTCGAGTGTTTCTGCCTCGCCATTTTTTTCTGCCGCCAAGTCTCCAAAGTGCACATCCACAGTGGCAAAGGTGTTGTTCCCCGCTGGGCCGCAGTCCTTGCAGCGGAACTGGTAATGACCACCTCCAGGCAGGCAGTGGGAAGCGAAATTGGAGTTGGCTGCCATTTCTGAGGTCTATGTAAGGGCTATGTAAGGGGAGATACCTCCAAAGCATGGCATTTATGTGTTGCAGTAATTTCCTCTAGTTTAGCTAGCTGAAATGGCCAGCTGGGCAGGGTTGTTCTTCACGAATCAACCACCAGTCAGTCGGCTCTAGCTTAGCTACCTGAAACAACTCGGAGCAGAAGCCCTGGAAGATGAAATTATATGATATTCCACTGGAAACCGGTTTGCTTCAATGCTCATATCAAAAACCATCAGAATCACGATCCGTCCAATGTCCTGGTCCCTTCAATGCAAGGCCTGTCTCAATAGATTGGGCATTTGGATGCATTTGGATGCATTTGGGGCACTTCTAAATTTCGAAACGCTTCCAGAATACCCAAAGCAGGTCTGACATTTTGTCGCCACGGCACTTGGCACTCCGCTCCGCAGGAGGAGAGTCAAATGATCACCGTCAATGCCATGCTCCGCAAGGATCCAATCATCACCTTGGGAGGATTCACTCCGTTGGTGCATGGTTCAGTTTGGATGGTAGGCAGTGGGCAGTAGACAGGTAAATGATGATACATGCTTCCTTCATTTTGGATTGTCCAAATACAGAACCCCTCGCGCAATGGGAATCCAAACTCTTGTGTTTTGGGGGGTGAAGGGTCATCGGCGACATGCGCCAAGAAATAACGATTGCATAGGAATGGTACCCTGTCCCAACCAATGGGGTTTAGTTCTACCTTGCTTTTCAAGGTGGCCCAAGCTGCAAATGGGTTTGTATAGATTCGCCAACTCCGGGCCTCGCCCAAGGCCCAGCCGTGCCAAGCCGCAACAAATCTCTGTGCCACGAAGGAATTGCATGGCAGCAACAGGCGTTTGCACCTCACATCGAGGAAACTCGGCACTTGGACGTGTGTCCCACTGGCTGTCTATGAGCTCATTTATGATTGGAGGTATATTCAGGTATCCTCGGGTTGTGATGGCATAGATTGGCATAGATATCCTTTTGCGGCTCTAAGAAAGGATCATCCCATTGAAGACCAGTAGATTAAAAGGACATCCTCGATACATAGCTTGGTTACGAGCATGAATCATGAAAATCGACCAGCGGCCAAGGGCCAAGGCTTCCACACAACTGCAGGGGCGGGAAAACGCCGGCTTGAAATATGTTGCTATATACATCTGAAAAGGGGGTTATGAACGGTTACTACCCAAACCCAGGAATGGACGCTGCACAAGAATGGCTTGTTGCAACCTCAGCCCCAAGGGACTATACTTAGTGGATATACTGTAATTCTTGTTTAATTGAATTCTTTCTGGTCTGGCCTCATGACAGCCACTCAGGTTGCATGACTATCTGCAACTTCCAAAGTTCCACAAAAGTCATGCCCGACTGCGGAAAGCATGTTGTCTATGCTGGGTTTGAGCGGACTGGATGGGCATGATAGTCAGGGACCCCCTTGATTTCATTGTAAGATCCATGGTTTGCTGCAAGAAAAACTTCAATCAAGTGAATAACCACCGGGAATGATTAGGATCATTCTGCTTAATTTAGGTAAAGCGGTAAACGCATGTTCACAAAAATGGATCCTACAGACCGCCCCCCAAGCCCCCCTTGGCGGTTTTACCAATTAGGGTGCCCCCAAGGTATCTGTGTAGCTGCATCCTCATCATCTGGGTTCGCCTGAAAGTAAAGACAATAGTTGATCATCATGTTCCCCATCGTATATAACTGCAGTGGTAAGTGGTAAACAGCCAGGTTTCACACCCAAATTCAAATATCTGGCAGTGCTGGTAAAGTGTTGATTGTAAATCCCATGAACTATAGCAATTCAATTGGTTGCAATAGTTGGTCAATATGATCGCAGCCATTCGCAGCGGCACTGACTGTGTCGCTTTCAGTTGCTTCTTCAACATCAGCACTGTATCCTTGTCCGAGAAGGTGAGGTCAAATTGCTCACCACCAGGGCTTGAAACCTGGATTCAAAGGGGAGATTTCAGCCCTTGAAGCCTTACACTGGAGGCATCTGACTTTGTAGTTCCAGATATTTTGTCAACAGTTTTAACTATATATATATATATATATACACACATGTTTTCACATGAAGCCCCTTTTTGGCTCGTGTGATAACAATGGTTTGCGCACTTTCTTCCCCTGAAATCATGCCAGTGGATACGGATACCAAAAGTAATCTCAGGGTAGCAGGCAGCAGCGGCCATCAACCCTCAATGAGGCAAACCAAAAGACACATGCAAGTTTGAAATACGTTGGAAAAATGTGATGGCATTGTATGGCAGTGTCTTTCTCTTGCCAAACTATCTAATAAAGATTTGACAGTTTTGTTCCGTGCGCTGGGCAGATAAATGCAACAAATACACAATTCTGTTGAGTAGATTGCAGTCTAAGGATCTGCATCTGCATAAATTGCCCCCAATTTAAAGCAATCTAAATGAAGAAAGAATGATGATCGAGGTGGGGACGCAACGGGGTACCAACTTCCCATTGGAGGACTAACACACATCGCCACATCGCTTAAAAGAAATCTACAGGATATTACAGGATCCCTCTCATTTAAACAATCATGAAAACAATTCTATGATCGGGCTGGAATAATACTTAGGTTTCCTGTGGATTATCTTCCTGAAACAACATAATGAACTACTGGTCTCGGCTCAGAAGCTGTCACTTTTCCCATGGCCGGGTCAGCTGCGGCACAGTTTTTGCGGCCACCGCGCGCTGTTCGCACAGTGACTTGAGCCAAGGTGAGGTCAGGCGACGGTGCCATCGGGTTACCCTCAGAGAAAAACACAAATCATACAAATCAGATCCTGTGAGCGCATGAATTTACGGGAAACCATGGTTCTTCCTTGAAATATTTGGGGAGTTCCTATAGGTTTTTAAAATGTGAATCGTCCAAATATTCACCTATTGATTTTCAGAAAATGGGACAAAAACGCAGAAATGAGTGATTTTGAAAAGCAAGTATTAGGGAAATATGGACACAGGGTATAACCAGGTGATTTCATCCACGATACATGCAGGCACAAAACCCGGGGACGTAAACCAACAGCACATCACTTCACAAAATCCGAATGTATCCATTCACAGTGAGGTTTTAGTCAAAGTTTAATATCGGTAATTATGAAAGTTGGTGAGGCAAAAAAGCAAAATACGAAATATCCCTACTGCTAGAAACACCCTGTCAGACTGTATCTGGGCCTGGTTTTTGGTTTAAACAACTTCGCAAAGACTTTTTTGATTTTGGAGCGCTAGGGAACCAAAACCACAGAATACTGTAAACATGCGCCCAGAACAACAAAATAGTCCACTAACATCTTCAGAATCTTCATGTGTTGCCTCCAAGAGTGCAGCATGGAATCCCAGCTACGATGGTAATTTTCTACGAAAGTCAGACCCCCAAAACGCACCCCTGTCCCGAATTTTGGTTATATTTTGTCAATCCAGATATTTCTATGGATTGAAAACTGTTTAGCCAGGATTTAACCAGGCTGAATCTTTGAATTCTCTCTCCATCGCTATCTCGGGAGATCAGCAGTCAAGCTTCAAAGATTCACCCTGACGCACATGTGTTCAACGGTGTCATTGCTTCCATTTGCTTCCTAAATGTTTAGGGAACTCTCTGTCCACCATTTTTTCTGTGTTCCATTGCTTTCCCACATTCTTTCAAATCATGCATTCCATTGCATTCCCATATATTTTCATAGGGTTGTCCAGCATTTTTCCTCATTTTTCCAGGTGTCACGGTGTCACCCAGTTTCTCCACCCCAAACAGCGTGCGTCCGAGGCGCAGCAATTCCTCGATGACACCGAAGTGTTGGAAGGCCATGCCACCGCCGCCGCTGAGGCACAGCGCCGTACGACCAAAGGTGACCTGGCCGCTGGAAACAGCCTCTGGTAGATCTGCAAAGTCAATGGAGGTTTTGATAGGAACATAATCTGCAAACATGGGAAAACATGGGAAATTCATCTTTGAATGCTGGGATTTTTGATGATCTATGGATTTCAGTGGGATTTCAATGGATTTCATTCCTCCAAAATGTGGGATTTCAATGGGTTTCATAAGTTTTTGGGATTTCAAAGGTGAAATACCAGCAAAATATTGGATTTCTCGTGCTGAATTGTATATAATGTAGTAATTCACCAACCTAAAACTAGCTGAAACGTGCGGCCATTTGCCTTGTAAACATCATTCTAGTGACGTCAGTGAGGCCACTGTAATTCATCCAGACTTCTGCATGTGCATCGCCTCGCATGCGTTTTTTTTTGATTTCATAAGTTCAAAATGTGGAAAGAAGTCAAATGTTCATAATATGGGATTTCATGGGATATCATGGGATTTCATAAGTTTCCCAAGTCTTTCATACATATATTTAGACAATAAGTTTCACTGGCTAGGAAAAGATCAGTAAAATTGCCAGTAAAATCATGTGTAAATGGCGTGCAAATGGTCAACAAGTGCAAACCATTTTTTAACAATGGACTTTGGAAGTGGTCAGAAAAGGGTAGCAACTCCATCCCCCAAAAATGTGTGTATAGTGTCTGTTTTGGGTGATTCAAGACATTGAACCAGGGAATCGATGAAGGTGTTTTTTAGATCAGGGCACTGGGTTCAAGAAACCATCAGAGCTTTGACTTTGGGTTCTTAATTGAAAGGCTCAAATGCCAGTGGAAACATTTCTTTAGTTTAGACCAGCTTTCCCAACACTTGATGACGATTACAATGCGGCCAAGCGCTGCACGTGCTTTGGCCTGTCGACAACGTGAACCTTTCCTTTGCACTTGAAACTTAGAACTTAGAATCCCCAAAGCACTGTGGTCAATTTTGATTCCAATACGGAATCTACCGGTTTCCGGAATTGTAGACCCCGGGTCGCTGATTGGAATTTTGATTGAAATGCTGTGATATGTTCTGCCATCCAATGCATGTCTCTTATAGTTTGACATGTTCACACTTCGAGATGCTTGCCTAAAAGGTTTTCAAATGGAGGGGAAAAGTAATTGATTGAAACAAATATACCAACTCAAAGGGGTAAAAACAAAGAAATGAAAAAACAAAACAAAAAACAAAATGAAAACATGATTGAGTCACAGAAGGAAAAAACAACAGCAAACACGAAAGTGATCTATACTGGTGTTTGCAATTTGTTTTTTGTTTATCATGTTTGCCTTCTTTGTTTCTGTGGTTTTCCTCTCACCAAGGCCCATCATCCAAGTGCCGTGGGAAGAACCAAGCAGAAAAAACAACGAAATATCCGGAATATAAGATGTGAGAAACGACTTAACAACAAAAATGCCAAATATATGAATCATCAACCAACAGTTCAAGTACTACCATATGCTATAGATATTAACTAGCTATAGATTCTATAGCCATGCTCTCTAGAGGAACAATTCCAAGCTCCCTGACTCCCTGATCTCCCAGGACGGGCAAGCCAAGAGACCACTGCAAGCTCAGTGAAGCGCTGGCTTTGGGCCTTACCAAGCCGGGATGGGACCAGTGTTGGCTGGAATTGGTATGAAAAATGCTGTGAACATAATAGCGCATTAAGTGCAATATATGATGTAATAATAAATAATAATACTATACTGCATCTCACATTGACAGTAGTACCGCACACGGCGGTGGCGGAAGTTTCGAAAATAGGAAACTTATAGGAGATGTTGGTTGCTATGAGTCACGGATGGCAGAGCGAAGCCACTGATGGACCGACAGGTGGTTGAGGTCTCCTCTCGTTCTCTCTCTCTTTCTTTCTCTTTCTCTGACTATCTACCTACCTACCTACCTACCTATCTATGTATCTATCTAATCTATCTAATCTATCTATCTATCTATCTATCTATCCCAGACGATTCCTTGTGACTCGTGACCTTGTTTGTGTTTTCTCCTAAGTGGCCTTTAGAAAGAGGTCAGTTAAGGAAAACGTAGAAAGAGGTCACTTAAGGAAACGAACCAAACAGTGGCCTACAAGTGACACGCAAGTGACACGCAGGTGACACGCAGACAGCCAATCCTTAAGTGATCTTTTCAAGGCTTAAGTGACCTTTTCTGGGTCCTAAGTGACCTCGTTTCATCCCACCTCGAAACCCCAGTGACACGCAAGTGACACGCAGTGACACGCAGAAATCATGAGATCAGCCAGGCAAAGAGGCCACTTAAGGATTCATGAAACGAGGTCACTTATGCATGATTGATCTTGTAAGTGACCGTTTGGCACTTTGGGTCTAAGTGGCTTCCATTAGAGGGCAGAAGTAACTGCCTGGTCTATCTATCTATCTATCTATCTCTCTCTCTCTCTCTGTCTGTCTGTCTATCTATCTGTCTATCTGCAAGCTTGAAAACGAAGCTATTCTGCGAGACTGCCTCAATTTTTGAACTTGGCAACATCAAAAATGCAGCAATTCAGTCAGACGTCCTCAATTTTGGAACTTGATAACGTCAAAAACGAAGCAATTCTGCGAGACTTCCTCATTTTTCGAAATTGACAACATCAAAAACGAAACAATTCTGTGAGACTTCCTTCAAAAATGGAAAGTTGAGTGCAGAGCTGACGGCCTCGTACCAATGCGTTTTGCGATTTTTCCAGTCCACCTGTCTAAGCTACTGCGCCTGCCATGAAAAAGTGATGCCAGGTCATACGAAGTGCTGCACCTGTCACGCAAAATCATCTCAGCAAACCTGAAGATCTGATGCTCCAAATGCAACCCTTCTCAGGAAATCAGCGCCCGGACCTCCTAACAGCTCTGATGAAGATGTCTCTTGTACTGCGCCTGCCACAGAAAATGCATCTTTGCAGACCCTCTTCAAATGCCCCACGCCTGCCATCGTGTTTGAAAATTCTACAAAACCCTCACGTTTTGCTCACTTTTGACAAGGTCCACAATCCCATGCGCCTGCCACGCGAAACGACATCTGAACGTCCAAAAGTGGTCCGAACCCGGGTGTTTTTCACATTTTAACTTCGAAATGTGCTTCGCGCCACAAGGGCGTGCACTTTTTTTCGACATCTCAACTTCCAAAAGTGGTCCATACCCCTGGTGTTTTTAACATGTTGACTTCGAAATGTGCTTCGCGCCACAACGGCGTGCGCTTTTGCGACATTTCAATTTCCAAAAGTGGTCAAAATTACTTTACTTCGAGTAATCCCCACAATGACATATCATGGTGAGGATCACATAGATACCAGCAAAGAAACACAAATGACGTTCCTTCGAGTGATCCACTAAAATTCTATTCGACATGATCTTGTATTCTATCTGGAGTATCTTCTGGCATTCTGTGTCGCTATCTTCTGGTCGTTTATCTGGCAAATCTTCTTTCTGGCATTCTATCCTGCATATCTTCTGGCACACTTTCTGCCATTTTATCTGGCATATCTTCCAGCATTTTATCTGGTATATATTTTGGCATTCTATCTGGCATATATTCTGGCATATATTCTGGCATTCTATGTGGCATTCTTTCTCGCATATATTTTGGCATTCTATGCGGCATTCTATGTGGCATATATTCTGGCAGTCTATCTGGCATATATTCTGGCAGTCTTTCTGGCATATATTCTAGCATTCCATCTGGCCGCTGAGGTCCAGCGGTGCCCACTGGGCTCGGAAGGTCCCTGGTTGAGGTCCAGCGGTGCCCACTGCGCTCAGAACCCGTGCCCACTCAGATCGGAAGCCGGCAGTTGAGGTCCAGCAGTGCCCACTGCGTGGAAGTGGACGTGGAAGTGGAGGCAGAGGTGGTGGAGGAGAAGGAGGAGGACGAGGAGGAGGTGGAGGAGAAGGAGGAGGAGGAGGAGCCGGAACAGCTGTGATAAAATCTAACAACCCTCACCTGGCAGGTGGGGAAAAAAGCGTGTTTTGTAATGTCAACCCCGGATTAATAAACCATGGTTTATTAATATTTATTAATTAGGGGGTATTCCCCCGATAGTCATGATTTGATACTTAAATGGTACTCTCCAAATTAAACAGCCTAGGGGTTTATTCATCCAGGGTTGACATTGCATTTTGACTTCGAAATGTGCTTCGCGCCAAAACGGCGTGCACTTTTTCGACGTCTCAACTTCCAAAAGTGGTCCGGACCTGGTGTGTTTTGTACATTTTTACTTCGAAATGTGCTTCGCGCCACAACAGCGTGCAATTTTTCATCCCTCATCTGGCCAGCTAGCTCCGCACCCGCCGCTTTAGCGAGCCTACTTTTCGACCCTCCGGAGCCTCAAATCATTGGAAAAAACACAGTGTTTCGCGGCTTTCCTACCTTTTCGCGCACCTGGATCTTCTTTCTTCTGACTCTTTCTCTTTCTTGTTCTCTTCTCTTCTCTGACTCTTCCCCTCTCTGCTTTTCATCTGTCCATATTGTCGGAAGTTTGACTTCGAAACTTCCTTCGATAATAAACAAATAGCAGCTTGTAGCTGACGATCCTTGAATCCTAGGTCACCCAAACGATGCATCTCCGTCAGGGATGCATCAATTCAAGCAAGATGAAACCTGCTTTAGAACTGAGAAGTTTGGCCAAATATCGAAAAAACTTTTGTCAACACAGGGCCCCTTCTTGTCCAGAATCAGGCTGCTTCATCTGGTTGCTAATTTGTACATGCTCCAACCCATCTCAAAATAGCAGTCATCATTGGCAATCATTATCCCACATTCCAACTACAGTATCGAAGAAAATTTCAACAGACCCCTACAACATACCCCACTGCCACTTTCAAGATTGTGCAAAAAATTCCTTTCACTGGTGTTGGAGGGGTTCAGAATATGCTCTAGAGGTATGTTCAAACAATCTTAGACACTAAGGTTGAAAGTTCAAAAACATTTAAAACCACCAGGGAGCTCTGCCCCTTTCAACTCCGTTGAACTCTGACCTCATAGCCGTCCATGAAGCCAGGGCGCCAACAACGCGTCATTCTCTGCGTCACTCTCTGCCTGCAATTGATCTTTCCGGTGCTTCACCTTGGGCCATTGAACAAGCAACTTCTGGGGGAACAACAACCATTTACTCGGATTTTTGTTTTGGGAATTCAACAGCTATAGAACCAGTATGATTTATGGCTTTGTCTCAAAACAGTGGCATATCTCAAAAATGGCCATGAACACATGGAGTCAACCTTGATAAACCTATAGGGTTGCCCGTGATTCAAAATTTGAGACCTTTGAGATAATCCCATTGCATCATTTACACAAGCGACTCCTCACTGGGTCAAGGAGCCTCGCGGCGTAGTTCCTTCAAGCACTTCACCACTGAGTCACCTGGACTCCGCAATGATGTCTGTTGGTTTTTAGACCCCATGGACTACTATTGGTATATGTACCAATAAATCATAGTTGATCTGGTTGCTGTCTGGGCCCACCTTACAGCAACATTGATTTCAACACGGGCCCAGCAGTCTTGAGACGTCTGAAATGACAATGAATTTGACATGTTTTGAGGTCGGTGACAAACACAAGTGCTTTTCCTTGTTTTTGGAAACGATGTTGAGTTCAGCCTAGGAATGTTAGCCACTACGGGGAAAGTCATGGGTCGGCCTTGCACACGGTCCAACTTCACCCTCCGGGACGAGACCATCCAGTTCGTTCTGATATCAACTTCTATACAAGGGTCACTAGCAAGGCTACCCCCTGGGAATTCAACATAGCTATGGAATTTCACCATTTGTTACAGGTAAAACGTTGCCACTATGGGCCATTTTCCGTAGCTCTGTCAATTGCTTGAGGGTAATCGAATCCCTGAAGATTGGATAAGTACTGTAGATGCTGCAACCCACCACTTGAAAAAGGACAACATGGACATGGATCAACAGTGAAATGGTGGTGTCAAGCGCATTATAAAATAACCACAATAACATCTCATTATAAAATAGGTTATGAAACCCCATCTCCCCCATGAAACGTGCTCATTGACTTCCCCTCAGCTTTCCATGAATCAACCGCAAGCCAAGCTGCAATAATCTTCAATCAAGTGCTTCGTTCCAGTAAAGCTCTTTGCATACAGCGCTTCATTCAAATGCCCCGCGTAATTGACGTCCTGCGGCATTTAAATGATGCAGTCAGAATTTCTCATTTTCATCATGATTCATCATGGTGGTTTGATCAAAAAAAACTGTTACACCTGCAAATGTGCCAATTCAAGCCAATTCAAACAAGGATCACCTCCAAATAGAAGCCAATCAATCTGAAAAAACTTGAGAGCTGGAGACTGTGAGCGTGCACTTTTTCACAAGTTGTTGGACCCTAGTTTGTGGCTTTGACAGTGAAATTCTGATAGAAACAATATAGTGGTTTTATTATCGTCCGATCTCATCAACATGTCTGGATAATTCACAATCAATCTCAATGCTGGTATGGAAATAGACACCCAAAAAAGGCCAGGATCAAGTACGGAACATCACCTTCCAAATCCCCTCCTGGAGACATTTCTGCAATGATCGTAGCAGCTTGGGCCAGTCCTGGAGAAATTCCTTGATTCCCCAGTCTTTTGAAGGTTGGGAAATAAAAAATTGAACATGTCTTGAAAGGCAACAAAATCCAGCAAACAATGATGGACATATACATACATCAAGCCCAAAAGAGTAAGCTAGAATATACTATATAATCTAGTAGTTGCATTAATATTGATTTTTGAACAATATAGATATTAATATTGAATTTTGCTAATATTATATATATAGTTATAAGTTATAATGCATTCAGTATTCCAAACGTGAATCTTCCTAACGACGGCGGGTTACACCGCGCGTTCCTGTCGTTCCAGCAGCTCCGTCAGCTCCACATGTCCAGAGGACAGCACCTGGCGCGCCAGTGCGAGATCTGTCCCAAAATCTCCATGAAGCGACACATATGGATACGCATTGGATATGTATATGTATACAGATGTATGTATACACATATGTATGCATGCATGTGTATATATATATATATATATAATATACCTATGGCACCCTTAACCCACTTTATTTTGGGTTGAAATCGGAAAAGAACTTTTTTTCCCCAAGATTTTGAGAAGAATCCTGGTATTTTTAGAAAAACACGGGTTTTACAAATTTCTGCCCGTAATTTACCCATAAGTTCCCGTAATTTATCCGCAATTTACCGTAACCAAATGCCTTGCTGAAAAAAAATACTTTACTTCGTGTGATCCCCACCATGACATTTATACATTTTCTTACTGGCAAATCTTCTGGCATTCTATCTGACATATCTTCTAGCATATCTTCTCGCATATGTTCTGGCATATCTTCTGGCATATCTTCTGGCATTCTATCTGGCATTCTATCTGGCAAATCTTCTGGCATTCTATCTGGCAAACATTCTGGCACTTTATCTGGCATTCTATCTGGCAAATCTTCTGGCATATATTCTGACATATCTTCTGGCATTCTATCTGGCATATATTCTGGCACATGTTCTGGCATATCTTCTGGCATTCTATCTGGCAAATCTTCTGGCATTCTCTCTGGCATATCTTCTGGCATTCTATCTGGCATTCAGTCTGGCATATTTTCTGCCATATTATCTGGCAAATCTTCTGGGATTCTATCTGGCATATCTTGTGGCATTCTATCTGACATTTTATATGGCATTCGATCTGACATACCTTCTGGCATTCTGTCTGGCATATCTTCTGGCATTCTATCTGGTATATCTTCTGGCATTCTATCTGGCATATCTTCTGGCATTCTATCTGGCATACCTCATAGCATTTTATCTGGCATATCTTCTTGCATTCTATCTGAACTCTATCTGGCATTCTATCTGGCCGTTGAGGTCCAGCGGTGCACACTGAGCTGGGCAGGTCCCAGGTTGAGGCCCAGCGGTGCACACTGAGCTGGGAAGGTCCCAGGTTGAGGTCCAGCGGTGCACACCGAGCTGGGAAGGTCCCAGGTTGAGGTCCAGCGGTGCACACTGAGCTGGGAAGGTCCCAGGTTGAGGTGCAGCGGTGCACACTGAGAGTTGGCAAATAGCTTGGCGAAGAGTTGGCAAGGCGGAAGTGCAGGTGGAAGTTGATGCAAACATGGTCGAGGAGAAACTGGAGGAGGAGGCGAGGAGGAGGACGAGGAGGAGGACAGCTAGCCGAGGAGGAGGAGAACAACTCTGATAAAATCTAACAACCCTCACCTGGCAGGTGGGAAAAAATGTTATTATTTTGAACAAAAACATCTGTTTTTTTTCTGGCAACCCAAAAAAAAACAGAACAGGGGACTGTGCATATTCTCTGTTTTGACATATGCATTGATTGGCAAGAAAACACAAATGACAAGACTCAACTCTCTGCATCCTTCCCTTGGGGCGTGCAAAACCAAAAAAAACAACAAAAAAAAACAAACAAAAACAGAGAAAACAAAAAAAAACTAAAAAAAGAAAAAAAGAGAACCAAGAAGACCTACTGGGCCAGAGTGCCTGTGACATAGGGTTGTTTTTTTTTTGTTTTGTTTTTTTTGGTTTTGGTAACCTTTGACCTACTGGAAGTTCTTTTGGCTCTTAGTCAAATTTTCCCAACAATATGACGTGCCTAGCATAAAGTCACATCTTTCTTTGCACAGTCCCCTTACATAAGGGAGTGCACCATTTATTTGACATGATTCCAAAGTCATTTTCAAAGAGGCAGCTGTGCAAAGCTCCTTTAAAGAAGAAATGGAAGAAGGACAACAATATGTCAGAATGAAATCCTTTGAGAACCTATTTTAGATGAATATGGTCTTCCTTAAAGAACGTGTTGGCGCCAGTATGCGCAAAACTTCCTATATAGCGTGATAAGGTTGTGAACCAATTGACTGAAACATATGCAAACATGTAAAGAATCATTATTGTGAAGTAGAAGTGTATGTATATAATACTTTTGGGAAGATACATGGTTGCATGTATGCAGTATGCCCTTCCATATGAGTGAAACAACAGAACAAAACAAACATCATTTTTAAGAAGTGGAATCTTTCCTTTTAATTAAAGCAAATGTTTTGCAGAAAAAATGATGGTAAGGCTTAACTTCATTAAGGATGTATTGCATTTGTTAACATTTTGTATTTCTGCAAGAATATTGCTTTTTATTCCAGGAACTATCTTGTCTTCAAGGCAATTCTTTTGAAGAAGGGAAGCCTCTCCGTTAAAAGCAAATGCCATGGAGAAAAAATGAGAATGAGGCTTAACCTCATTAAAGGATGTATTGCATTTGTCCACACATTAAAGTTGTCCTGCAAGAATGTTATTTCTTATTCAAGGAAATATAAGGCAGATTGCAGCCTATAAGCAGCATGTTCCTTCAACAAAAAAGTTTCTTGTTTCAAGGAATACTGCGCTGTGCATCGGCCATTGCACCTTTGAGAGCAAGACTGAATGTCAATCACACACTGCATGTCGAGTAGGAATCTGATGTTTTGAAAAACATACTGTATGATTGAAGGCAGGCTTAATATTACTATGAAAGGGAGAAAAAAACACACTTCTACAGAAAGGATCGCTGCATGTTTAGAGGACTGCTTTCTATTTTGTAGGGATACTCTTTCTTTAAAGAAGTGCCTTGCCTTGAAAGAAAATTGCAATTTACAGTATAAATGAAAGTTCTATTTTGCAATGAAGATTTTTGCCAAGGCAACACTATATCTGATAGATGAATGCCTCAGAATGCGCATGGGTGCTTAAAGGATTGCATTTGCAGCTGTTTCCAACTGATTTGGCTTACTAGGATGTAGTAATCTATCTCAATACTGTTCCCCCCCCACCAACTAATTCTGGTGGCATCTCCTTTGGATGAACATCTTGGCAGAGGCATCAGGCATGATGATGTGTATGAAGAGTTAGCACCAACAACATATTGTAAAACTAACCCAAACACGCACTCTCACAGTCCCCCGCTCTCAAAAAAAACTGGTTTTGGAAGCTGTAGGTATATATATATATGTGTGCGTGTGCGTGTATTTGTATATTAAATTGACACACATATATACATACATATATATAATTATATATATATATATATTATATAAGTAATTATATTTTAAAAAACGTATAGGCATGGATTGAAATTCTTGCCCGATGCTGAAGATGAGTTCGTGAAAATAATATATTTTTTTAAGTTGGGGGCCTCTTTTTTAGGCCACATGATGGCCACATGATAGGTACCGTCCACATCTGCCACCGGAACCTGGCGATGTTCCAACATAAGTGGCTTCTCCCAGATGAGGCAGGATACCACGAAACTCAGGCACCCACAAATCCAATTCCTTGCTCCCTGCGCAACCTATTAGCAGTAATCGGCTCAGTTCAAAACCCAATCTGGCAAAGTTTTGCATGTGTCAGCTGATTCGACTCATTCGACTTGCAAAAATCTCAAGCTTTGGTTGTAGCTCCCGGCATCTCCAAGCTTTTGGTTGCTGCAACTCCCCCTTCCTATCCCTTCCTCCCCATCGGTGTCAGGTGAATCCCCAGCCTCGCCTCCCAAGCGTAATAGCGACTTTGGGGACGACCCTTCCAATCCTGCGCGGCGAAGTGGATCATTCACCAGGGGAACCAGCCATTGATGGTTTACCGTAAAACTGGGACCCGAGGACTAAACAAACCAAGTCCTTCTTGGGGGTTGATGATCCAACTTTTGGAAGGACTTATTGTATGTATATATATATAATATACTATAATTACATATTTAAATATGCACATATGGTCCAGTAAAGAAAAATATGTTGGTGAGAGGGGGGTGGGCCAAGTCTTTTAAAGTTGTTCTAGGCGTGGTGATCATTTTTTTCTGCTGGATGGGTGATCCAGTTTCTGTTGGCGCTGTCCAGCTTTATGTGGATCTGATCCTTCCATTTATCAACTAGCGGAAGCAAGACATCTGTGGATAAAATCCCCTAATTCAGGGATTCTAACAACTGATTTCATAGGACTCATATGGAGGTGTCCTAAAATTGGTGTACCCCAAAATCATCCAAGATTGGACCATTTTAGCATTTTATACCCATGGTTTTTGGGATCCCCCATGTTAAGAACCGACCCCATATGTGTTTATCTTGCCAAATACTCCAACTAACTACCTTCGCACCCGAAACCAATCCAACTCAATGCGCTGAGGAGATTTATTTGAAGCTACTGAATGAAACCAGTGACAAGATAAACATCTCCACTTGAAGTGGCACACACGAAAGCACACCCATTGTCAAAGTTTTACAAAACCTGGCGATTGCAGCCCATAAATTGAGCATGGAACCCAAAATTGGCCATATGCAAGATGTCCATCATCTTCCAAACTCTGTTATTGAGGTTCCATGTTAAGTTTGAGGGTGCTAGACTAGATGTGCCTGCATATATATATATATTGTATGGATATGTATATATATATAATATACACATCAAATCCTATTCCAGTTCATTGGGTCTGCTGCATTAACTGCACGGTTCCTCACCACAATAGAAAGCTGGCAAACCAGTTATACTCTCCATATGTTCCTATTCATTCGAACATGGAATGTAGAAGTTGAAACGGTGCCCCAAAAAAGATGCAAAACTTCTACATTCCATGTTTGAATAGGAATTTACCAATGCTAGGTGTGAGAATTGGACGCCACCAAATTCTGAATCTTGCCAATGTTTCGCAGCAATAGGTGGGCAATCTAAGTTAAAATCTGTTCCCCGGAGGTTTATGGCATCGTGTTTACCACATTGTCCCAGGATGCCACAGGTTTTAAAATGTTTAAACAATCCATCCCCATTTTCTTCTGAAAAATAAAGGAACAAAACATGGATCAACCCTAAATTCAGTTTCACTCTGCTCTTTATGAAACAAAAACGCCCATGAATCTTTCCGTCTCCAAGCCCAGGGATCCTCCAAGTTGTTGGCCCGGTCCATCTCTTGTGCCGCTGCCTTCACGGGATGCGACCATTGATGGATCCTTATCGAAACAGAAAAAAACAACAAACAGAAACCTCTTTTCTTGGCATGACACGTGGCAATGTAATATGGCAAGCAAACAAATCAATGAATTGTCTGCTGAACATGTGGATTGCCTAATTCTTGCCAATGCTTTTCTACCAAAAGTCAAACAAACAAGGGACCGTATTGAGGGGGTAGTACCATGAGGTGGTGCCCTCTGATTAGCCAAGTGTGTTTAAGTGGTTTGGGTTCTGTGGTAGATAAAATGCATATATCAATGATATCATCAACATCTAAATATGTAAATAATATATATAGAGTTAAATGAAATTTTCCCATTCCTGGGTGATTAACCTCGGAAAAATAGAACAATCACGGACTCAGCAAATCCAAGATGAACTAGGCCTTTTCTGAATTTCTAAGTAGGCGAGGGTTTATGGTTGGTAGATATAATTCTTAGATGGATTTATAAACCAACAACCGTGGATCTCTATAGTTTTCCATCTTTACGAAAGGTATCTGTCTCAAAACCGGTGCCCCAAAAGCCTAATGATTCACATTGATCCACCATTAGTAAACATATTCATATGTATATATATATACAGTAAATAGTTTCCCTATTTTTCCTAAGTTTTTCAGATTTTTTCCAAATCACGTCCTATCTGTTTCTACAATTTTCCTATATTTGCCTACTTTTTCCTACAGTTTATCTTTAGTTTTCCTACCGTTTTCCATTACTTTCCGCTTCAAAAAAGTTCCAGTTGAACTCTGCTTCTCCGCAGCCTTGTACTCCCTGGCCGTGGCAGCGCGCAGCATCCAACTCCGTGCGCGGCGCGTGGAGGCCGGCGCGCAGAGCCACTCGGAGGCGTGGATGGCGGCGCGGATGGCGAAGTACAGCACCAGCACCACAGTGATGACCTGGGAGGGACGGAGTATCAGGACTACTTGGTTGGTTCTATAATGCTTAATAGATATTGAAGGATACTTAACGGTGAGTAATTAATAATGGTGATTCAGAGTGATGTTTTATAGCCGATTAATGATTAATGATAGTTGATGATGGTTAATAATGATGAAACTGTAATTAATGATTGATAATAGTGACAATATAATAGTGATTAATAGATAATATTGGTTGATTAATCACTGTGACTAATATATGGTCATTTTTTCTTGGTGATAGTAGGACTGATGAGATATATCATGATATATCAGCACTACTTACAGTGGTTTATAATGGTGATTAATTGTGAATCATGACTAATGACTATTAATGATGTTTAATAATAATGACTACTGAGGATGGTTCACAATGATGGTGCTAATAGTGGTGATTAACAGTGAATAATGATTACTGATAGTTAATAATATGGTGATTAAACAAAATAATATTAACCATCCCTTGTAGTGATTAATGGTGGTTGGTTTACCAAGGAATAATGGGATTTAATTCTGGGTTAAAATTGATTTAAACGGATTTTCACCTTAATGAGATATCTCACCATTGTTAGTGATTACAATGGCGATTAACAGTGAGCAATGAAACATAAATATTAGTGATCGTTTAAAACATGATTAATAAGGCATCATGATTAATGGTGATTAGTAATAATGATTAATAGTTTTAAGTCGACAATAAATTGTTGATTAGTAGCGATACTGATGATTAATAATGATAATAGTGGGATACACCATGAATGATGGCAATTCATACTGGGTCAATTGTCAATAGTTAAAAATGTTAATAGTTAATAATGATTCATGATGGGTATAATCGTTGATATATATATATATATAACCGTCATAATTAATATCGTAACTTATTTAAAGTGATTACCGGTCAATAGTTAACAATGTCTGACCAATGACTATCAATGACGGTTAATAGTTATGCTTAATAGAAAATAATGATGTTTCATGGTGATTAACACTGGATATTACCATTCAGTATTAACTATTTATATAGCATCATTGGTGACTAATGGTGTTTGGTAGGACGATTATGATTAATTATGGCCAGTGATAGTTAATAATTATCAATGCTGCTTAATCATAGCTATGGAACA